TTTTGGTCACATGCATTGTCTTGGGTTCTAGGGATTTCGATGTATTATATACAGCTGTGTAGAATGTTTGTATTTGATGCTCTTATAATTTCAGGTTCATTTCACAACATAATCACTCTGACGAAAGGCAAATGTATTGTTCTGCTTTATCAATAATGGCATTGACGTCATTGGTAATGTGTTTTTGTCTTAAAATTGTGCCAAGCTGCTTGAACATTGCTCGATTTGACAACTTTGTAGTTATCTTACACAAGGTATAGACCTCTACTTCCTACAACCCTTATCGTACACTGTTGTATTAGATTAGACCTTTTATGACTAAAGGAAAATGATCAATATCATTGCAGATACAAGAAATGAAATTACAACCAAATGTAGTCCTCATTGATCAGAGAAATTATTGGACAACAATTTTCCAAATATATTTCAAGTCAATTTTCATTGGAAGGGGAGAAATTCTTGTGGGAACAAACAAACTTTACATGACAATTGTCGGTGCTCTGTTATGAGTGCAGACAACAGTAGAATTACCCAACTCACCAGGTACAAAACGCCCCTCTCCTTTCTCTCATCTGGGTAACAATAACTGACAGTTGTTCAAGACAACCTTTTGCCAGAATTGTTGTTCAAACGGTTGTCGTTGACAACCCAATTACCAAGACGAGGCGGTTTTTAGCGACTATTCATTCCCCAAGACAGCCAGTTTTCAGTGACTATTCATTCACACATTGAAACTGGGTTGGTCATTAATGGACGTACCTAGCATCAAGTATTTACGAGGTGCCGATTGTAGAAAAGTGGTTTTCCAATCAACCCAAGGTCACTGGATGAGCAGTGTCCGGAAAATAGGTTAACTGAACTATCTTGGTCAGTGATATCAGACATATACTAGGGAGAATGATTCAAGATTATACTATTTCCTTTCAAAGTTTTTTGCTTTGCAAAATTGATACTTTTTGTAAGAGTTTGTTCCTGGGGGTTTTACTAGTAGTATTCTGCTAATAATCCATTGGTAAACAGAACAACAAGATTGTGTACATGTGTTACTGACTGTTAGTATTTGAACTGTCAATTGTGAAAAATTTACTGTCAGAATTTTTACATTCCTGTATATTTTGTAGGATTTGCATTCTTATTTGTGATTTTGCAATGAAGGGATATCGAATGATTTTGATTCACTGTGTGGCTGCAGTTCAGTACATTTATGTACCCTAGTTTGCCCTCGAGTGTTGCATATAGAGGATGTTCATTTGCACTAAAAGCAATGCAGATGTGATGAATACAACCTGACACATAGCTGCAAATTGTAATTTAAGGAGTTGTTGTCTTCCACACTTGCTTACCAAAACTTGTCTTTTTTGGCAGTCATTTCTACTGTGTGTGGGGGGGGGGGGCTACTTAAAAGACAGGAGACTGTATTGTTATACAAGTTGATTTTAAATGGACTTTAAGCCTCTTCTGTTAGCACTAGCACTGTGGAGATTTTAATCATATTTGTGCATGTAGCGACTTCAGATCTATGCAGTCTGTCAGTAAGAGGAATGCCTGTCCTCTACTACAGGACAGGCATTCCTCTAATCTGTTATTACAGTATACTGGTATTTTTTATGCCAAGCCAGTTTGCATATATACTAGTAGATGGAACATACAGGTACAAGTTGATACACTATACATTACCGGTTATACATTACTGGTCCTTGGTAATTTTTAACAAGAACTCATCAAATATAAAGTTTTGTGATTCTTTGTTCTTCCCCTCTATATGTTCTGTTTGGAGAAAAACTTGCTAAAGAAGTTGGAAGTGTTCAAACTCCTTTTTTTCCCAGTTAAAACATTAGGTAAATCCCCAACTGTCACATAGTGTTGACTCAGGCCTAATCCCTCCCATTTAAAATGATTGACAGTTCAGTTTGTGTACTCAGGAACAGGGTGTGTGTGGTGGGGGGGGGGGGTTAGGTAGATCTATGGTATTATTTTAACCCATTCCAGTGTACTAGTATTTGAAAATGAACTGAAGTTTTGCATACGAATGCATTCTGTGCAACAGCTCGTGGGGTTATAATTGAAAACTTCAAGATTGGCTACGCTTTAGTTCTTAGAACTGCATAATCTGTTCACATCTGTTACTGATTATCAAACTTCTGCTTTTCAAGAAACAAATGTCGCCATGTTTTGGTTACTTGCACTAAGATAGTCTACCCGTAAATATTAATTCTGTTTTTGTTGGCAAATACACATATACTGTCAGTGTAAAAATTATTGCTGTCAGCAAAATAACATTAACTTCATAAAGCTCAATCTCATAAGTGATAATTGATAAATTTTGGACTTCAATTTAGTGACTAAAGAAATTATTATCTTAAATTTTTCAGTTGGTTTGACACGATCTGTGCGTTGTGAGCTAGAAAAATATTTGTATTATAAATATTTAAAATATTAAGAAAAGTATACTCGAACGAAGTGTAACAGAAATTTAGACCAAAGCATTTAGTCTACATAGAATTGTCTTTTAAAGGAAGTGTATTGCAGATGAAATCTGCTCCATTTAGTTTAATTGAATTGAACAGAAGTGATGGTTTTGGAATGGCCTTGAGGGGTAGCGATGTACATTTCCCACGCTCCTAGCTTCAGTGACAGATGACGCACACCCCGAAATCACCTAATATTTCCCTCATTTGCATGATAAAACCCTGCCCAGATCGCTATTCATTCAAAAATGATTTCGTGCTTATTGCCGGCAGGCAATACATGAAGATAATTCTCTCATACAATTACAAGTGAACACAAAGACTAGAGGGATAAGAAATGTTTTAATGCTGCAGAACTTGTATCCACGACATACTTTTGATGACAAAGGGTGGAAAATTCAGACAGGAAATCGTGCTACTGCATTATTTACACTCTAAATAGGCGGGACTGCACGGCATACGTTACCTTTGAGCTTGTTTTGTAAGGACGACTCAGGTACCCCCTTTGAAAACAAGCAATATTCCGCACACTTGTCCCTCCCCGGTTGGAACAACAAGCCTTGAGCCGACCTATTGTGTTCTGCCCAAGCGCAGATCACGTTTCGTGGCGTTAGCTGTAATTAGTCAGTCCCCCGGGCCAACAAAAGACGAATAGGGCGATGCCTGAAATACGGTTTCCCATCGGCCGTGACTGGTCCCTTGACGTTCCTTGTGCAAGGAGATGCATTAAGTTTGGGCTGTTTTGTACTTCTGTCGCAGACAGCTTGCTTAGCATGGACACACAGGGCATTCTTACTCCGGCAACCTCTGACCTCTTGCTGACTGGCTGGGGTCAGCTCATGAATATTAATGAGTTTCTGAAGGGTGTCAGTAAGTATTCAGGAGCAGGGGCCCGCTAATCTGATATGCAGATTCCGGGCCCTGATGAGGCACATCCCATGGGGCCTTTATGGCTGTTCCAACGCCTGCTTGCACCCCCTCTGTTACATGCCTTGGGTACCAACTGCAATACATTAATACCAATAATTAAAATACTTGGCAAGAACTTAGGAACAAATTAAAAAGTTAACATTATTTTCATGATGCTTACATGTTTTTTTTCCTTTTCATATATGCAGCTGATTCCACCAATAGCGAGGAAGCGGAAAACGATCGACAACTTTGGGACGTTCTGCGCGTTCGTGCTGGCGTACGAAGCACAACTACAGGTACGGAAACCTGCGGCATTTTTGTCAGTTTCTGTTTCCTTTGTTTTGAAAACCAGAAAGTTGCGTTGGGTACCCCGATGTATGCGGATGTAACCACTGAAGTTTGTTTGTATGAATGGGGTTGCCCAGTTTTGGAAACATTTGTGTTTTGGTGGTCTGTTTACAATATTTCTATATTGTATACCATTTGGATAAAGATACCTGGTCAGATAATATTATGAAGTTATTGACTTTAAACTTGGTGTTAGTGTAACTTGGTCAACCAGTCATATGTTTGACCACTATTCTAGCCAGCATCATTTGATGGATTTTAACATACATTTTGCCCAATTTGGCATCTTATTGTGTATCAGCGTATAATGGAAATGTCATTAAACTAAGCTTATTTTAACAGCAAAACTAGTATATGAATGTGTTTGAGTAAGAATTAACAGGGCAGACCATATGTGAAGGTAAACATTATGTATTTGCTTTGCAATTTGTGCAAGTTTGTTTCTTGATTTGACTGTTTTGTTGTCCCGTTGCCTACAGAAGATGAGAAGTAGTCCCCACAACAGCACAGGCAGCTCTGCGGGCAGCGACACCACGGAGAGCACCACCAGTGAGGTACAGGACCTGGAGGGCAGCTCCAGCTCCTCCCATTCCTTCACGTCACCCGCGCACGGCTTTCCCGCGCCCGCCAGGTCCGTCAGCAAGACCAAGGGCCTGAGCAGCTCCGACAAGAAGATCAAGAAGGAGAAGAAGAAGAGGAGAAAGCAGATCTTAAGCCAACAGTCCTTAGAGACAGGTGAGTTGTGGTTGAAAATTAGCATATGCAAATGTTTGATTTAACATTTGCATATTTGGGACGGTTAAAATGAAATTTGGTGAATATTTTTGCCCTATTTGCATATTTGGGAAAACCTACCTACCTAGACCTGTCGTGGTGGCAAAGTAATCATGAAGATTACAGATTTCCAATTAAAACAATGATATTTGAATGGTCTGACGAGTTTCCTGTTTGTTGTTCTAGGTGTTGTGACAGATGATTCGCTGTTCGAACGTCCTGACCCCGCTGAACACAAAACAGCCAAGAGGAGAAAAAGGATCTCCAACGAAGTTATCGAGTCTGGTATGTATACGCACTCCTAACCTATGTGATACTAGTATAATTGTTCCACTTTGTCAGTTGATGCTTTCAGTTGTTGGTGTGGTCGTATGGCATAACAGCAGGATGTTTGGCAAAGAACCAAGAGGTCTTGGGTTCGAATCCTGCAATGTCACCGATCTTTTGCCCTTGGGAAAGGCACTTTGCACAATTTTCCTTACTCCACCCAGGTTTAAAATGGGTACTTCAGTTCGGAAATGTAAAATGCAGTGGAAAGAGAGGGTTGGGCTCTGCCTTCCAATACCTTTATACAGGCTTTGGGACTACCTTTATCTATTATCAGTTCACAGATATTCTGATGTTGTAAAGTGATTTTTTTTGTTACTTTTCCTCAGACGATGACTGGAACCTGGTGACGTGCTTCTGTCAGAAGCCGTTTGCGGGACGTCCAATGATCGAGTGTACGGAATGCACCATCTGGATCCACTTGTCATGTGCGAAGATAAGAAAGTCCAACGTCCCGGAAATATTCATCTGCCAGAGGTGCCGCGAAGCCAGGTATGAGATATTGTTTTTGCTCTGTTTCCTCTTCCTTTCCAAACACCAAAGGTCACATGACGTCTGTCACCATGGTAACTGGTGTTGGGTTACATCATGTTGCAATTTTATAGTAGGAGGGATTTAGACTCCTGTAACCTTTCTAGTTTATTATGCTCTATTTCAGATACTTTATGTCTAAAAACTGTTTCCTCTCTCTCCAGGCACCAGATTCGGCGATCCTCCAGGCAGAAGGAGGAGAATTCCAGCCCCAGTGTCAGCCCCAGCCCCAGCCCCAGCCCTAGTCCCCACATCTCCAGTAGTGACTCCGAGGACTTGTAAAAGCGACGTCCAATCACAGAACTTTTGTGTTAAAAATGGATACTGTTCTGTTTGTATCCAGCGTGGTGATTTGACAGAAAGTTGATGACGTTAACTGATGGTTGGACTAAGTTTACAATGTAGTCCCCTTACAAGTAATGCTGGACACCCCAATATTTGGAGTGGAACAGTCCACTTTGGTTGATTTCCAGCTGATATTGGTCAGGTACACTGAGATGTAGGGGTGTTCAGGACTAGTTTACAGCTATCATGGGGAAAGGTCCACTGATTTTTCCATGCGTATGGATGTATATTGCAAGTTCTATGAGAGATCTATTGTAAATATGACATTGTTCCAGTTCAAATGTTAAATGTCCAACCTTCCCTCTTCTGTACAAAGAAAACTCTACTTTTTCCCCCTGTAAATTCTAACGAAAGGTTCATTTGTCAAGTATTTCTTCACAGCAAAAATGTTGGAAGTTGAATCATTGTTTTTCCTTTTTCTATATGTGGACTTACTTCAGTTCTGTATGATTGGTGAACAGCAAAATGCAATGACAAGAAGTCCAACTAATATGTTTCACAGTTTCAAAAGTTCTTTTGTCTAAATTGAGAAAGAAGGGTGAGGGCAGGCAGTTTTGTTAGGAATTTTGTGTCAGACGTTTGTCATAAGCCACAAAACAATCTATTGAGGCAAAACCTACTTGTGCTGGTCACATGAGCGAAAAAGATGGCTGCGTTTTGGGTCGTGTTTAGTTCTAGACTCGTAGTGGAAGAGGCTTAGCAGGTAAAATGAGTGATGTAGACCAAAGAGCACAAGGTTTTCTAAATTGTGAACCTATAAGATTCAAATCGGCAACTCTTCTGATTTGATCTGTGTTGTCCTTGCATGGTGTACCGGTCTCACTGATCCTCAAGTTAAACTGTACAGACTTTTATTTTCTATTTTTTACAACAATGCAGTGCTGTAAACACAAGCAAGGGGGCGCTAATGGTGCTAGACTCTAACAATGCTCAGTGTCGGTGCATTATGCTTGGATTCTTTCACAAATGTATCACATTAAAGTCAAAGTGACAATGCTTACCCGGCCATTTTTAAAGAAAGCTTGATTGACATAAAGAAGATGGTTTTTGTTTTTAAGCAAGTGACTTTTTTTATGGCATAGGGATCATGCACTGTAAAGATGGTTTTTGGATTTATATAAAAAAAACTGGAACATCAACATAAAGGGCTCTTTTGATTCAGTTGATTTTAATATTTTGTTTTGAAGGTTGAAAAAGTTGCAAGGTGAGTGGGAGTATGGGTTCATATTATTTTGTACATGAAATCTTTCTTTCCAAATGTAAATAGATATCTGGCCTTAAAAGGAAAGAGAAAAGATGTTTCTGATGAAGCCTGCCCAAAAGATGTTCCCATCTTTGTTACAAAAGATGATTTTGAGCCGTTACATGAAGTTGTGTGAGCCTTTTCGGGGGATTTGATTTGATTACTAAGTATATCTAGGAAGACAAATGTTTATACATCTGTACAGGAAAGATGTGAATGTTCTATAATAAGGTGGATAAACAATCTGTGCGGTAATCTTGGACATGTTGTCTGTGCTTAGGGTAGTTTCCATGGTAACCAAGAGTCCATCAGTGTAAACCCTGGCAGGGTTTCTAGGGGGGGTTAGATGAGGTTGACTTGTCAGGTGCCCCTTTCTTCACTTTGGGGCAGAAGACATTGACAGAATTAATCCAGGGTTGCCAGAAATTTTACCAACCACTCTGGTAACAGTTGTCAGAATACATCCAAATCTCCTGAAAGCAGTTCAAAATCAACCCTTTGTTCATGGAAATGTGGTTCAGCAAAATAAAAGTACACTCCTTGAAACAAGGAACTTCACAACTCATTGTTTATGGTAAGAGGACTGCCGAGTGGATCACGTTGGGCCTTGTTGGAAGAACATTCCCTAAAATGTCAGCCTTTCGTGAGTGGTCAAGTCTCTTATCTTTTACAGCACAACAAAACAGCCATTTGTAGTCTGCCCCCAGACCCCCTACCTGTGCACAGCCCTGCAGGGTTTTCACTGATAGGTTCACAATTCTTCCAGTCCGACTTGGGTGTACATTGTAAGCAGTTTCTCTGGACACCCAACTGATGTACACAACGTGATGATATCATGTTAAAAACGCTCCGGCCATTTGGAGTCACTTCTTCCTCATTGTTGACACCCCCCTCTAGTAGGTATTGAAATGTTATGCAGGCAAGAGGCAAAATCAGAAGTACCTTTTTGTACAGTGCAAAGTTATGTTTGATTAAAAACTTCATTGTATAATCTTGTGTGTAAAGTGTCATGGTTGTTAGGATAAGACTAAGAGTTGCTCCTATACCATCAGATCTTAGTTTTGCCCATACTGTATTTTGTCTGAGCATTCTCCATAAACAAAAACTTGCCCTTAACTGTCAAGTTTATTAATGTTTTATTGTTATTGAAGGAGTTCAGAAGAACATGTCAAATTGTTTAGGTACAGGTTCAGGTCCAGACCTGTACCTAAACCCATGTACATCATCATACAGTACCTAAAATTTGAATAGATACACAGCTCTATTGTAAATTCATGAAAAGATGCATCTGGGGAAGTCTCCATCCGTGCGTCGCCTCTGGTGACCCCGCCTCTGGTGACCCGCCTCTGGTGATCATCTACGTCATCACAGTTTAAACGTCACAAAGCAAGACGGCAGCGTAGGGATCGGCGATGGAACGAGTTAGGACAAATTTTGACGTGATTGTCTCTAACCTAATTAAGCACATTCATTTAAAACTAATGATTGCGAATTGTAGAGTGAGTGCAGTAGAGCTAGAAAAGCCAACAAAGTTGGACCATGTAGACCAGAAATTTTCCTTTCCAAGTCAGGAGAAAGCTTCAAGTTTCAGCCTCTCGTGACCGCCCCTGAGATAAAATGGGCAGGACCCTATTCAAAACTTTTTAATGTGCTGTAAAAGTTTAGGAAAGTTTTGGACAATACCACAGTAGAGTGCTGATGTGCCCATGTGGACGTTACCAAGATTCAATGCAGACCAGTCATAGGGTTGCTTCCAATTATTGACCGTAAATGATACATTATCCTCAGTACCAGATTTCTGGGCGTGGGGCGTATTCTTGCAACATTCCGCATATATAAGAGACCCTCATGCTCCACAGTAAGCACAATGTCAGGTGAATAGTGTGAAACACTATAATGTGAAACACTATAATTCTATATAATATAATATTATGTTTTCAATTTTATGACCATTTATCAACCAGATTCCACCTGTCGGGGTTGAATGCCAGCCCAGAGATAAATCTAGCGGAAGCCACTATCCCCCACCCCCTTCAAAACAACAATAATCTGTTCAAAATCAAGAGTGCTAAAAGTTTTTTTCTTTGCTGAGCCCTGTGTCCCCTACTATGATAATGTAATCATCCAGACGGCGGCCATTTTGAATCGGGAAAGGCTTCCTCCCTGTGCTGAAATCGTGCTTCGGGTTCAAAACAAATTTTTGGGTACTTTTTAAAGTTTTCGTCTTTAGAATATTTTGATTAAGTGTGCAGCAGAATGTTTGGGAATTTTCCCTGTGGATTTGTGCCGTTCTGGTGATGTTTTGAAGAGAAAATGCGGATTTCCTGACCTGGCGAATTTTGGACTCTTAGGAGAAGACAAAATGGCGAGACATTTGGGAAGAGCATCTCTTTTTCTACCTCCATGCATGGGAAGAGTAGCGTGGTGTGAAGACGACTTTGCTTATTGTTGCAGGTAAACCAGCAAATTTTTTGGCTGACATTCTTCCCTAGCAACTATAGTACGAACATGTCAAGTTATGTTCCGTAAGAAATGACCTAGTTCTGTATTAGAGAGCGACCGCGTTCCTAATTACCTCCATAATTTATGGAGGTATTGTTTTTGGCGTGTGTGTCTTGTGCGTGTGTCTCTTTGTGTGTGTCTCCGCAACTTTGTAGTCGGCATAACTTCATAACTTCCGGTTTTTGTATCTTTTGTCCTGAACATGCTATGGTCTTGACTTTTTGGTGACAGCTTTTCCTGTCAGGAATAAGTGGTGTGGGTTTGGTCCCCCTAGCAGCTTGTATCAGTACTTTTTATTCAGTAGGTGTGTCCTGAGGGTCAGCTGTCCTGACCGGGAGAAACCTGTGATGACCGGCATCTAATGTCCAAACCAGAAAACCTGACCAGATGAAGGCTCAACAAACCAGTTGACTTGAAGACATAGAGTGAAAAGATTTTACAGGTGAGATAATTTATTGAAACTTACCAGTACTATTTATTTCTTCCAAGATATAGATTTTGGAACAAAAGAAAGTTTGGATTTTTACAATTATGTTATGTGAAAAGAAGTATGTTGCAGGCAGTGTAATTATGACATCCTAGTTCTGACTATAAGATGTGAATTGCTCCCATACAATGTATATGCTGACTTTTGTTTTCCTCTTCACATGACTTGTGGTGGATTCTCTACATACTGAAGAAAGGACCAGACTTTCACCAGTAAACTGTAAAGCAGTGAGAGAAGACACATGGGGCACAGGTTGTGAGTATAGTTTATTTGAGCAACACAACCAAGTACACACACCTGCATACATTTCTATCCTTATACCCTCTAACTCTGCTTTGCAGAATCTCCTTTTCCACTTACTTGTAACCTTCAAGTTGTCAAACTTCCACGTGGTTAAATTTGGCTCATATTTGCTCTTACGTAATTTGAACCAAATGCATGTTCCACTTGCAGTCAATTACAGAAAACCTGCGCCTCCAGGCCATTTTTTCATGGGTACCTTGTATCAGAAAGAAATTTTTGCACAAATTAACTGTTTTCTTGAAAGTACCCCTATTCAGTCATTTAGGTGTGGACATGTAAAAATGCTATATTGCAAATTCAAAATGCTATTGCAAATTCAAACATCAAGGAGCATCCAATTAACGTCATTGTTGGAACAAAAAGATTTGTTACGCCAAAAAACAGTTACTCAATCATATCCAGTTGCTTGAGTAACTGTTTTTTGGCGTATCGTATTACCTGGATGTCTAACCTTCATCGACGCAAAAAGATTTGTGTTTTAGGGATTTTTTTTGTAGAATCACTAGTTAACAAAACTCTTGTGTCCAGACTATTTTGAAAAGTTTCACAGCTAGCCCCAAATTGATACTTTGCTGAACGTGCCCAGCCACAGAAAAGAATACCAGACTACCATGCTCATTTCTCTTTTACACTTCTCACTTAACTTTCACAACTCTTTAAATGCTTCGCATTCTGGACTTCTTGTCTTGGACCTTTAGCTGCCTTTACTCACAACATCTTTCTTCACCCTTTTGCTAAACCCTTCACTCAAACTTGCATGGTACATCACCCTTTTCTTGACACTTTGGACCTTTACACTTACCGGTAAATTCCCTAACCACTTAAACTCTTCACTTAAAATCTTCCTCTGCTTTTGCACGCTCAACTTTTCGGTCGAAGGCCTCTTTCCCACTACGGTAAAATTGTCCGAATCAAGCCGAATTGATTTGATTCGCTTCTTTTTCAAGCCGGATCAAAGTGAATCAATTCGGTTTGATCCGGACAATTTTACCGTAGTGGAAGTGGGGCCTTAGTCACACCCTAACTTGCACGGTACGTCACTCTTGTCTGCGCTCTGATGCTTCACCTACATTCTCTTTTCCTTGCGTTTTAGCCTGGGTGCCATCCTCCGTAGTTTTTGCCCGCTCCCTAATGTCACTGGGCACCACGGCCCGGCAACATTAGGGAGCGGACGAAAACTACGGAGGATGGCACCCAGGCTACTTGAACGTAGTACTTGCCTTTCATCCTTTAACTCTGGTTTTAATTGCACGGTACATCACCCTTTCCAGTCAACTTTCTCAAACACTTAGTCACACTCTTCTTCCACCTTGAACACAAGACAAAACTCTACTCCACTCTGAGGGTCTGGATGCCTTTTTTGAGAAGCTGATCACTGTTGTTGCAAAATGTAATTGGCCACTTGAATTCCACATTGTTATCCTGAATTCATTGCAAAATTGTCAATTTGGACCTGAAAGTTTGGTTGATAAGTTTTTAGCCAAAATCCTGCCTGCCAAAAAACACTTAGCATACGTGGGACCCTCAAGTAGATAATTAATTGGATTAAAGTTTTCCCGCCAAAAAACTTAGTATATGGAGCAGTCTAACCTTGAACTTGTGCCCCCCTCCCACCACTTAGCCACCACACTTCTACTTGCTACACCCAAGCAACTCACACTGTTCCAATGCTTTGAACCTTTACGCTTAACTTCTCCAAACACTTTGTGATACTCATGCTATGTCAGACCAACCTTCCGAAACACTTAGTTACTTGAGTGAGACTTTTCTGCAAGAATGATTGTCACTCTACTAGTCAGTCAGTTGCACAGGAATGCTGGTGTGTCGAAACACCGTGTCTCCGCAAAGACATCCCCAGGGGAGCAAACTTCTGTGCATTGACTGACCAGTAAAGCGACAATCATTCTGGCAGAAAAGTCTCACTCAAGTAACTAAGTGTTTCGGAAGGTTGGTCTGACATAGCATGAGATCACAAAGTGTTTGGAGAAGTTAAGCGTAAAGGTTCAAAGCATTGGAACAGTGTGAGTTGGTTGGGTGTAGCAAGTAGAAGTGTGGTGGCTAAGTGGTGGGAGGGGGGCACAAGTTCAAGGTTAGAGTGCTCCATATACTAAGTTTTTTGGCGGGAAAACTTTAATCCAATTAATTATCTACTTGAGGGTCCCACGTATGCTAAGTGTTTTTTTGGCAGGCAGGATTTTGCCTAAATTTTTTTACACAATTCATCAATGAAGTGGGTCCAAAGAGACAATTTTGGGAGAATTCAAGCTGCCAATTACACAATAACAATTAACTAAATGAAGGTCTCATGTTTTTTGGTGGAAAAATTGATTTCAAAAGTGTTTGGTAATTTAAGTGTTAGGGTCCAAAATGTTGGAAAAGTGTGACAAAAATTGTGTGAGTGAACTTAAACAGGCCTATATACATATCAACCAACGAAGCCTGAAGGATAAAACCTCCGTGCCAGGGTAACAAAAATACACAAAGCCCCTCTCCTTTAGCGTTGAGGCATGTGTAAGTTTGAACCCTGAGACAGAAGTTCCTCCTCCAGTCCAGGCTAAGCCCAGGGACAAGAAGTTAAAGGGTGCCAAACTCGTTTTGGGACATTTCCCTTCGGCAGCCAGAAGCCCTTTGCCCATCTGTCTAAATTTCTGCTAAGGGGAAGTCTAGCTATAGCCTGTAGCGATAATTTACACAGGATAGTATAGGGCCTCTGGCTGTCAAAGGGAAACAGCTAAGCAGCCCGAAATGAGTCGTCACCCAGGGTAAGAACATACAGAAAGAAAGGAGTCGTGTTTTGTCATGCAGTGATTGAAACCTTCTATCAAACTGTTGTTATCACTGTTAATATACTGAAAACAATTCAAACCTCCTGCTCCAAAATCCAGGCCTAGTCTCAAACTCATCAAATAAAGTCTGTCAGCATAAAACATCGCTGTCAAACTTTACCAGATCAACATGACACGAGACCTGAATTTTGCAACAGAAGGCGTTGCGGCAAGTCCATCAACAGTGATAACAAAGTCTGGAGTCTACATGACTTTAAAGGGAATCAGGGAAACAAAAATACATCATGTTACATGTATTTCCTCAGATAATTCACTCAAAAGTTCTTTCCCTATATTTACATGAACATTTTGACAATATCTCTATTATAACTGCCTTTAGCTATTTAATATAATATGCTAAATGTAGTTGCAATGATCAACTTCAAAAGTTGAGGGGCCCGGGGCACGCCCAACTTTATTTGCCATTTCTATTCAAAGCTGCACACCCTCAAGGCTAGTGACCGTCTCTGCCGTGGAATAATTTGGAAGGAGAATAACTGTATATGAGACAAAAGGATACTAGTATTTGATCAGCTACAAGTCCAACTGAGTTTGGTTTCTTTATTTTTGCAAAATACATTGTACAACAGACGAAACTCAATTTCACTCCAAAGTTAATGCACAAAATTGGTAATTTTCACGTAGGATAATCCCACAGAAAAAAGTTAAATTGTTCGTCAACAAGTCTACTATGCAGAATTGAGGCATATAAGTTTGAACCCTGGGACAGAAGTTCTTCCTCCAGGCTAAGCCCAGGGACAAGAAGTGGAAATATAGAACAAACGGGAAGAGAGGAATTGTATTTTGTCAAGCAGTGATATAAACTCAAACTCTGTTATCACTGTTAATGTACTTGCAGCTATTCAAACCTCCTGCTCCAAAATCCAGGTCTAGTCTCAAGCTCATCAAAATCTTCCTGCACTCTAAAAGCCAGAAGGGAATCCAGTGTACAAAATACTTTTTTGAACCAGGTTGCCGAGTGGGCAACCTACGCCAAAAATTAGGTTGCCGATCAGAATTTTAGGTTGCCCCACCAAAAGTTACTACTATCCTCAAATTAAGTAATGTTACATACATACGCCTTTGACAATATTTCTAACAGCCTTTACTTAACTGTTACTAGTAATAGCCATTAATACCTAAATAAGAAAGCATCTGCCTGATACTGTGGTGTAAGCCAAGTGGGCATGATTTTTCGACTGCCCTTAGCTATCTATGTTAAATGTATGTAGTACTGTTGCAATGATTGACTTCAAAACTTAACTGTCTACAGTACCTAAACTCCCCTTAAATGCTGGCTACATTTCAACTAGAAATCCTAATTGCATAATGTGTCAACCTCTCACTTTGTTTAGAAGTGAGAAGGTCCCGATCATGCTTTACACTAGATTCCAGAAGAAAGCGGCCACGATCTATTGTTCATTTGTTTAGACGGAAAGCTAAGCACATCGATAGACTTCGAATTACACAAAATTCAAACGGCAAGGCCCAAACCTACGTCACTTCTTCCCTGTACAAGACCTACCTACATGTACCATTCAAATTTCGTGACCCTAGCACGTCCGGATCATGAGATATCAAAAACGGAAGTTAATTCAGCTACAGTACCACAACAAGCTGCCAGGAGGCCCAAAATCTAATCATTTCTAGGTCTCATCAAGACCTACCCACCTACCAAGTATGAAGACAGTCCATTTAAGCCTTCTCGAGTTTACAGACACACACAGACAATCACAAACGCCTCATGAACTTTCATGATAACAACTTTATTGTTTAACAACTATAACTGGTACAATCAAGGACATTATACAATGTATCGATCTCCAAGCAGATCATATGGTAGCAGCATTGGCCAGAGTAGTGTCCATTAACTATGCTAAAATACAATTCTAACAGTTAATCATAGATATAGTAACTTTACTCAGTTTCAATGCTACCAATCTTTATCAAGATTATTATATTCCAGTCTATGATTCAGGAGATGTGTCAGCTATTTACATACGGTGTCGTTTTTGTAGCGAATCGGATATGAATTAAATTCTCCTACTACAAAACACTGATACCTGAGTAGGGCATGGCAGGAGCATATTGAAGATATCTGGTTTTGAATGGGTAATGTAACATTAGTTTTGGAAGCAATGGAATGCATCAACTTTTGTCGTTTTCTTCTGTTCACATGTTGGACACGACATCAGAAAGTGGGATTTGTCTTCAATATCCTCCTTGCCGCAGCGTGTTCACTCAAAACAGCACCACAGAGACATTCAGTTTTACTTTAATATAACAAACAGGATTTTCCCGGAGACAAACTTGGTACAAGCCCCGGCACCGCGTCAAGGTGTTGCCTCCATTGCCGAGGTAAATTTGGACGCCATCCTGACAACAACCACTCAAGTCTCGGCAAAATTACAACATAGCAGCAAAGTTTAAAGAGTTTCACTCAGCTCACAGCAGTTTGTAAGAAAGAATAAATGTTAAAGGAATGTTTTATTGTAAAAGTGAACAGCCAGAATTGAAGAAGGCAATGTTGTTATTTGTGCCCTGTCTTGCTAAGTTTTCTTTTTAAGTTTTCCTCCCTGCCTATCTAATATTTTTTTAATTTTTATTTGGTTAAGTCATACTCTGTCTAGAGTTGGTTTTGTTTGTTATATTCAGCTAAACTGTCTTAATTTGTAGTTGTATTAAGCCTCATTCTTCCTTAGCTGTTCACAATCTTTTCAAACCCAATTGTATTTTTCTCTACGGCAATGCGAGCTGAGTGTACTCCATATGAAATTTGAGAAAATAAAAGACAAAATTACCGAGACTGTAAATAGTAATGTCAGGATGAGCGTCGGTTTGCCAATAATTGTGTGCCAATTTCCCACAGCAAGAAGCAAGCGACTAGGACCAAAATCATTTCAACATACAGTCCGAGTCTGTCTACTACCCTGCCCAACATATATACTGTCCTTGTCAACAAAACCAACGTCAAAATACATGATATGAACAAACAGTATCATTTAAACAGTATCATTTGTACCATTCTAGGGCCACATCAATTTAATTTGTTGGTTCTCAAAAAACTGTCACAGTCTATATCAACCATCATACAAAATATCATATAAATCTTATCTACATAACATTTACGTGTAAACATCTATAGAAATGCCGGTACCACTGTCCGTCTGTGTCTTGTGTAGTGGTTGACTTGTCGAACTTTGGCGCGGGTGACTTTTTTGACAGGGGTGTTTCATCCCCCCTGGATTTTTTGACTAGGGTTTACTCCCTAGGACTTCTGTGCAGGGGTGTCTTCCCTGGGTGTCTGTGCAGGGTTTTCCTTCCCTGTATTCTCGTACTTATAATGTAACATCAACCTATTTATGTAACTTCATGCTAATATAAAAGGTGCAAGTGTATTCAGCAAACTAATGTTAAATCATGGTTATATACTTATTGATATCACATAAATGATAAACAGGCCACGCAAAAAGTCTAACAGGACAGCTGAACAACAAAAACAAATCAACTTCACAGAATCTAAAACTTCGTACATACATTGTATGTTAAACTTCAAAGCATTCATAATACTGCAAAAAAAATCAGACTAAAAAGATCTATGAACCTCAAACATTATACAACTTGCAGTATATACATACATGGGCATCACAAACATATGTCTGAACTCAAACATTAGCAAAACCAAAAGTAACAATTCAAAGATGTCTACATCCATACATATTGTATGTTTGTCGAAAAAGCATACATGGAAATTGCAAATTCTCAAACAGATCGACACAAAAAAATCGCAGCGCCGCGCGCCTGGGAAGCGCCAATTGCAAGGGGTGGTTTTATTCAGACACAGATGCAAGACATAAAAAAGAAGCCCATTTTACTAATTATTCAAGCGCCCCTCCCTTACTTTTTAAGTCGCGAACAAAATGATAACACCTTGAGTCAAAAGACCCAATAATTTACTAATACAAGCCCCAGTACTAACTTGTACAGTCAACTTGCTTGTGCTGGTCTTCACGATCGGAGCTGTGGTCACCAGATTTCCCCCGACCAGTCACGAAACTACATCCTCTCAGTTGGTGGAACTGTGTTGTCAGAAAAGATAAGAAAAGAAAAAAGCGTAGGTTATAATTAATGCTAGATACGCTGTGCAAAATCACCTTGGTTCACCCATGCACATCCAGGCAACATTCAACTATGTCCAATCCTGAACAAGACAAACTACAGCATGTACAAGGAGAAACATATTCATCCACTAATTTGTTTACTTATTCATTCATTCATTCACTCATGCGTTCATAGTTTCCATACAGTCTGGTCAGAGCTGCGGTGGCTGCTTCCTTCAACTTCTTGGCGATAAAGAAGACGTCTTCGCGTTGTAGACACTACGAATTCAGTCTTCAGGTGTACGCTGTAACTGTAATGGTGGACAAAAAGAAAAGAAACACGTTAACAATAAGTATAAGATGCGATTCTAAGCATTGCTGCCCGTACCCTGTACTGGGTAGACAAACTAGAACATATACAATACACTAGGAACATTACATAGAATCCATATAATATGTTTGATAACAGACAGTCACATGCCAAAACTTTTAACTTTTTTTACGTGTGTGTGCGTGCGTGAATGCGAAGAAAAGAACACTCATATTCAACCAAATAAACATTGTATATAGGACACTTTATTTAGATTACTTACTTACTTACTTACTACACATTTGAAGCATCGAACATTTCTTCACATATTTTAGAGACATTTTAAATTTTAATGAAATATGCAAGAGTTTTTGAACTTTTGCACACCTCTTACATTCAGACACTTTATACACATTTCAGGCATCGGAATATTATACATTTTAGAGACGTTTTGAAGTGTGTGCGTGCGCGTGTGTGCGAAGATACAGGCAATAGAAAGTTACGATATAGTCAAGGGGAGGGGCGCTAGCTATAGTATAGGGAAACTAACTAAAACTTACCCCATAAGACACCCAGGGGGTTCAGTACGAGCCTAACACATTAACGGTCTTTTAAAAGTTTTAGATAATCATTTTAGAATGGATTTTAATCTCGTTTTTCTAGGTCATTTGGTATTAAATATACATTATTTACAAACTTGATACTTTATTGGGATATCCATTAGTTGCACAAACTAATACTTATACGTATCACCCAAACTACCCACCTTTCCCAAATGGGGCAATATAAAAGCAAAAGGCATGAGTGGGACCTAACCCCATAAGAACTACACAAGCGGGGACAGACCCCCCATTTTTTTCATGAGGAAGAAAAATCGTTAGTACACTGTAATAAGAACCAAGATAAAGTGCTCTATGCTAATAATAATCCATTGAATTCTATAAAAGTAGGTTTTTATGGAATTCTATGGATTTTAGTGGTGTTAATTCACATGGTGTATCATACTACCATAAAGAGCCCAAGAGCATGGGAGCGATCTTACACTTACTAAGATGGCTCCCATGCTAAGAGCACAAGGAATATAATGAATTCAATAGTGTTCGTGTACGTGCGTGCAAGTGGTTGCGGAAAGAACGACACAATAGATGCAGTGTTAGATTTTTTGTTGTGGTAAAACCGCGCCGCGCTGCATGTGGGCATCACTGATATTTGGGTCCTCGCGAATTACTTTTATAAAACGCACGGGTTAAAACTATGAACGTTTACCTCTATACCACGCACGCTTTACAACTATAACAACGTCGCGAGATGCCCCTTTTCGTTGCTAAGCCAGTAAACTGACTTAGCAACGAAAAGATATTGATGTGAACCTTTCTCAAAAAGATTCACATCCGCGCACTGCAAGCAACATAGGCATAAACCACAGCAATAGACTCATCACAATATCAACTTACAAATTAATACAAAATACCCAAGCCATGTGAAATAACACCACTAAACCTAGACTAACCATGACAATATCATGCGAGGAATTCTGTGTAGCACTCACAAAATTCCTGACGTATCTTCAACACATAGTCATACAACAAATCAAGAAACAAGGTCTTTTGCGCGACCAGCTTTCGCACAACGTGCACGCTACGCCGCGCTTAGAGTCTCAAAGAATTACGAACGTTAGTACGCACGAATTACATGTATACATGAAAGCGCACGAGTTAATACAATACTATACAGCGCCCGGGTCCCAAGTTCGCACCGCCAGCTTGAGCGCAAGCTGACAGCGTGTTTCGAGCCTAAAAATCTCAGGAATCCACGAATTACACTTATACAACGCCAACGCACGAATTACATGTTTACATGAAAGCGCACGAGTTAGTGTTGCAAAACGCAGGGGCCTTTTTGCGCTGCCATGAGGGGAGAATAAGAGAAAGAGCCCTTACCTTCACGACTTACCTTGAAGACGTTCTGGCTTGTACTGACGCTTGCCTGCTGTTCACCAACGGAGCTGATTTTGGACTGTCTTATTTGTTTCTACAGGTAAGGGCTTACGTCACACTAAAAATGAGGTTCGTTTTAATCGCCCAGATAATGCAAGGGACATTAGGGTCACTTTCCTGCAACTTTGCAATTTGCATTCTTTGGTACATACATTTGTTTTATGACAACCCTTTAATTATTCTAGGCTACAAAAAAGTAATGAGAAATCTCGTCCCCCGTTTAGATGGAAACAATGGTTTCATCCAGAAGTTTCGAACCTGTGTTCCACCTGTTCGATATGCAAATGTACCACCAGCTGTGTATAGCATTTGACCAACCAGAGGTTATATGGATGAGATTGAATGAACGAATAGAATCTTTATTTATTCGTCGCTAAGAAGCCCAACCGTATGTAGAAGGGACACGTTGCGTTATACTATGATTTAGTAAAGCTAACACACAGCTGAGAAAATAAAACAGATTTTCCCATAACTTAACTTCGAACGAGTTATAGTTTGTCTTTAATATTATGCACAAGGAAGACTTGTTTGTTTTATCCATTGTGCTGAATAAATGTAACGTTACCTTGTACGATATTTGATACCCTTCTATTCATGGTATGTCGAAGAGAAATGTTGTCTAATGTTGCAATTCCTCATTATTATGGTAGATGTCATTCTGAAAGTTTGTCGATTGTTTAATGTAAGTAGATGAATGTATTAATGATGAAATGGTACAGTCCGCCTCTGGTGACCGCCTCTCGTGACCCGCCTGTGGTGACCAACGCCTCTACTCGCGACATCCCCTACTCGCTAAATGTGGTTACTGTATTTCCTGCAATGATAACTTGAGCCGTTTGGCGGCGCCTTTTTGGACCATGTGAAGGATGCCATTTCTTATCAGGAAATAATGAAAACGGGTAAACACCATCTCAAAAATGTAGCCACCAAAACCTTTTTCTTGGCACATGTAACGTTACTGTTAGTTCTACAAAACGCAACTTAGAGTAAGCCCAAAACAGTAGGTGGCGCTTCTATGGACTGCCACGCTCAAAGACTGCTCCTAAATCATATACTACTACTAGTATCCTCACCTCTGATTTTAACGTCCCTCTTGAAGCATACTCAATTATATATTGTGCTGATCGTAGATACTTTTACATGTTAAATTAGCTTGTTTAAATACTGATCTATTTTGATAATTTTGTTGTTGACAGTCATATTTTGTTATAATGTCACAACATCAATTTCAATCACTCTCTGGCTAAGACTGTCGTGATGTAAAGTTGAAGTCTTCAAAAACCATTCCTACAACTTGCATGGTTCGAAATACTGATTGCTAGTGCACCCAAAGTTGGAGATGTGCACTAAATAGTTTTCTGTGGGTGCACCAGTGTACCCAAATATTTTCGTAGGTTTACGTATGTAAAGTAGGTTAAATGTATAGTAGTACAGCATATTCTTAACATATAAGTGTTAGAAAAATAATAAAATCATTGTAGTACTTTTCTTTAGAAATGAAACATATAATTAGTTATTGCTACCATTCTAGCATGGTGCACCCCAAACATTTTTAGTGCGCCCTATTTTTTTTAGGTTGGGTGCACCAGTGCACCTATTCCCAAAAACTTAGTAATTTCGAGCCCTGACTTGTATCAGTTAGTCCCAAAACAAAACGTCCTAAAAGGCAAAGTCTCTCTCACGCATCTGTATATGACCCTGTTGTATATTGGAGCTCCAGAAATTCGTGCCACGCTTTGAAACAACAACGTGACACATAATGGACAGGTTTGGTACCCATAGGTAGTGTTTGAGGCCTTTTGGTAGCATATGTAGCTTGTAGGGTTAGAAAATGAAGTGCTTTCCTTGGCAAAACACGTGCTACGTTTCCCACACTGAAACCTCAACAATGACTAGTGCGCCCTGCGTCGGACTAGAAGAGATAGTAGCCTATAAAAAGAATCTCCTTGATACGTAAGGACAAGACACTATACTTGTCAGGCGTTGTATGATACTTTTATGGTAATAACTTTAATTAACTGTCATATTTCTAGTATTCAAACTTAGGGTTCAAGTTCAACAGAAACCACTTGAAAAACTTCAAACAATACAAAACAAACCTAGCGTGTGAAAGGTACAGGACGTGCAAATAAACAAGTTAATCCCCCTTGAAACGTTAAAACGTACTTGGTCTTTGGGCGTCAGCAGAATTGTATTGCTTAATCCCAATGTACATCTGTGTAGGTGAAATAAGTAATCCGAAGAGAAAGGAATTCAGATGGGGCGTAGGAACAGGTGAATGTAATGTTAACTCACATAATTCCTCCGGTACCCTAAAGGTCTTAACTAAGACCCCCACGTTAGAAAAAAAAAACACTGTTGTCAAGGCCCTCTCTAACATCCTCGATCGTCATAATTATCCGGTGAGGTATACTTGATATAGTTACTCCAATACACACTGTCCCTCATGACATTAGAGCAGTCCCTGCGAGACCAGCGTCTCTCTCTAACATTGACAAAAGTATCACTATCATTGACAGAACATACTAGTATTAAGAATTATTTTTTTCGCGGTGTATCAGACTAGCTAAGAAATTTTGACTTGATGACTTAATATTCTGTTCTCTAAATATACAACCGTGGAACAGTTGCACATATATAGACAAATATCAAATATGAAAAAGGGTATATATACAGTTAATCAATCAATAGTTCGTGCTTATAAACCTGCTTTTCTGACAACTCTCCAGTATCAGTGACGAAAGGTAGTGGATGCTACCTGAAACATCTGGCCGTTTCCAAAATCATATGCGTAATTGTTGAGTGATTGTTTTTTGGCGTATCTTATTACCTGGATGATTAACCTTCACTGGCGTATATACAGTTACTTATGCATTATGCAAGTTTGCTAAATTCCAATATCAGTAGGTTCCGAGGGAATTTCTTTTGAATTCCATTCAGCCGATGTTTTGAGTGCTTTACACGGCACTTTGAAGCAGAGTTAATGGTATAATTATTACGGTTGATGCGATAGCGATGTCGGCATGGCTTCCACACGGTATGCATGACCTGCGCCGGCCGGGACCGTTGCCAGGGCCTACACATGCAGGCCAGCTCTTCGGCACCAGGGCCACATGCCTCTGAAGACATTTCGGATCTTCACGTAAGGATTGAATTCAACTCTTTTCAACAAGTGAGGTGTTTTTTTTTTATCCAATGCAATTTCAGGGTGACAAAACAAAAGTATTCTGGATGAGAAATCTGTCTGATATTGACATGTACTGCCATTTCTTAACACATTTTCGTCATCATTTCAGTTGAAGTGTTTGAAATTGCCCCCAAACAAGCGACGTGCCAGCGTGCGGAGTCTCTTTATTATTTGGTACCACCCCTTAAAAGCTAGAACCTGCCTGCGAAACAAAACAAAACAAGCAAAGCGACATCACATTTTTGTCTCACAGATATCAGTATGTTATGGGATAGGATTAATGCAACTTACAACATTAAAAGAATGAGCAGAAAATTGAGTTTTGCCTCCCTGAAATTGCATTTGATGCATATGCCTTGAAACTTCCATGCTCCACTGTCACAGGACCTCCGCGCGGCCGGATCCGCTTTAAGTTCTACGATCAAAGGAGGACGTCCCTAACCCACAGTCCCTAACCGAAGCTAGCCTCTCATTTTCAGTAGTCGAGTAAGGGAATTGGCGTAAATTCTCTTTCCAAGGGGAACACCATTGGAACCTGCCGGAGATTAGAACCAAGTCAACAATCCAAATCACCGTGCCGCTAGTACCGCATGTTGTTGTTTGTGTTGGATTTTTGTTGGTTTGTGGAACGTGTGAGGAGGGAGTTAGATCTCTGGGAGACGGGCCTCTGTACCAGGTATCAGACCAAAGCGTCATCCTGGTATTCACCTGTTTAAGGCATCCAATGCTAGCCTGGGTTCCATCCTGGTTAGTTTACGTCCGCTCCCACAGTCGCTACCACCAACCAGGTAGCGACTGTGGGAGAGGACGTAAACTAACCAGGATGGAACCCAGGCTAATCCAATGCGATTTCATGATCAGAATAGCAAAAATGGAAATATTCTGATAAGGCAATCTTTGTGATATTGACATATACTGCTTCATATTAGCACATTTCAATAAGTATTTCATACTTTGGGTACTTTAAAAACTGCAGAAACAAGTCCCAATGTGAGTGCTATATTTTATGGGTGGTACCCTAAAAATCAGCCAAGGGCCCTTCCACTAACCATTTTCCGTCAGAATTTTGGGTAGTTTTGCTCCATAAGGGTTTACCGTCCTGAGTTTTACCGTCCTGAGTAGTGAGGAAACTGCGCACACGACAATTCTTAGGTCTCGCGAGAACATCGATATCTCTACGAGAAATGACAAGAGTTCTCAGGCTAGGCGCTCCCGTCAGGTTCTGCAAATATCCGGTCCGCGTGGGGCAAATACGAGTATGAAACAACCACCTGCACCTGAGGCACATCTAGGGGTTTGTCCGCGAGTCGAACTATCTCGAAGAATTAAGAAGATTCTTACCGAGACTATAGCTATCATGCAAACCCCTGCCGCGATGACGTTGCAGACAGAACCAAGCAGACGATTCGTCTCATAATTTCAGATCGCTGATTCGGAGAATTAACACAGGTAAGAATTCGTTTGTACGATCAACTTATTAGCGACAGATTCTCGACTCTTCAACAACGAACAGCTAGTACTTTTCCGTTTTTCTTTTCTCTCTAATATGAAAAAATGTTCAAATTTTTTTAATAGATATGAGGGTTGTTCAATAAGGTAAACTTGACCTGACACAATTCTAGATATCGTCACGTCAGAAATACGAGTAGTACATATCTTTATTTGAGCAGCTGTTAGGGCACAGGATGTCATAGTGAAACCGGTTGAACTCAGGGCGTAGCACACTATTAGTAATAGTAATTTCCCACCCACAGACTGTTTAGAAACAGATTTTGGTACGACTATTGGTCTATTGATTCATAACTAAAAACTTTGTCAAGTTTCGTTTGCTAAGCTTAGTCTACGGAAAATAAAGTTACAAGTAACACATAGTGTACTAGTATTCATGGCCCAACGAACGCTTTGTATTTTCAAATACGTACCTTTACACCTCAACCCATCCTAACTGTTGTAAATGAGAAGAAATAGGTTGAAAATGAATTTTAAGGTAAGTAAAGTGACCCGTTGAGATATACACTTATTTGTTTTTCGTAACACAAGTGCAATTCAAACCTACATGATATCCCGGATATCCATGGTCAGGGCACAGGTAAGAAATGACAGTCCGTCAATGTTCTATTATTTCAGCAATGGAAAAAGTCAACCCTCTTATTCAACTCAAATTCCTTCCGTCACTGAGAAAAAAAACACCCACCCATTCTGCAAACTTTATCAAACGTAACACCCTTTTTCCACTATTTAGAATGAAGTTGATGTTCCAAATTACTTGACGACAAACGAGTTTGAAATTCCCAACCAAAAAGTCAACCCTCTCATTCAACTCAAATTCCTTCCGTCACTGAGAACAAAAATCACCCATTCTTCAAACTTTACCAAACGTTTACCATACTTTTTTTTCGAATTACTAGTTGATATTCCAAATTACCGGACGACAAACGAGTTTGAAATTCCCTACCTACGATGAACAAACACAGCTCATCATCATTTTGTTGACACGAGATAAATACAATCATTATTCCACGCCTGGTCCTAACTACATTAACATCCATTCTTAAATATTGACTCCAAGGCATGCGCTTAGTCTAAAATCAACAGACCAGATGGCAGGGCAGATCACAGCTAGTATAGTGAAGCTTTGTTTGTTTGTTGTTTCACATAAGGCCACACCAAGTAATTTTCATGGATGACGTCCGCGCGCGCATTGATTTTGGCATGTCCGATCCCCAGAAAAAAGGAAGAAATTTCGCTTCCTGTACCTATTACCAAATAGTCACGACAGTGCCGCAAATCGCAAGATTGGAAAATGTGATGAAAGGGAAGAAACATGACTTGTTGGTTGTTCCACTGTGTTCTCTCATTCAATTTGTGCCTTAACATTTATCGTCCCTTAGTATATTTCAAATGTAGGCATCTTGTGTTTTTCTGCCTTCTTGTTTTGTTTTCACGCTCTCGCATTGGATTTAGGGTCTCCAGAGGACGTCATACATAAAAATTACTTGGTGTGGCCCTTATCCGAAGCCGACTTTAGGTGGAACACTCCGGTTTTGTACAGTTAGTACATCCTATGCAAGACTCTTTTCGACAACGAAGTATTGGAGCTATGTCTGTATAACGTCCAGGCTTTACATCCTATCCGAGGGACGTCCCCAACCGAAGCTAGGTACTCATTTTCACCCAAGTGTAAAACATCGCAGTGTGCTAAAGATTCGAACTCCGAACCTTTAGTCAACAACGCCAACCAAGATTTAGTAATTGTCAACGTACATAACTATGAGCGTTTTTATTATTATTTTTATTTGCCTCCCGTATTACTGTAACAGTAAACCTTTGAATTGTAGTGTCCTACAACGAAGGTCCTCGTTTGAAAAACAGGCCAACAAACTTTAACTTTAAAGTAAACCACGTCCTTTTAAGTAACGCTGATGCTAACGTAATGACATGAATTGCACTTGACGGGTATGTCAAGAAGCAATGTTTAACCAAACCGCCCTGTTCCAACGTCCTCTTTGACTTGTGATCGCTCCACAAACCAATAAGTTTGCCAGTAACGGCCGACCTTTACCTCCACATACCACGGACCACTTCTTGTATCTGACGCAGATATATACAATTTACTCAAGCTTTGCTCGGATTTCTGCTGGATTAGGTGTTGAGGAAACACACAAAAACAGGTTTTGAAAAACATTTGAGCCACCTGTTAAACTGTAAGGCGCAAACATCACGGTAACCCACGGTCCCGTGCGGAGTTTGGGCACGTACCCGTGTGTGGACCAACACCGTGACCAGGGGTGACCAAACCACTCACTAGACACTTCAGAACCCAGCCAAACAACCAAGACAGACATGGCCTATTTGGCCTGGGGGTCAACATGGGGGTCCTGCTGAAACCGGGTTCTCTCTCAAGATCTTTTTCACCCCATCTCTCAAGTGTGTGGCATAATCTCTTCTTTGAAAAGTTAACTTACAAGTTAGAAAAACAGGTTTAAATATTTCAACACGAGGACGAGGACTTTATCTATTTTTTTCTACCAAAGATCTACGCATCTTTTTACTGCTATTATTATCAACAATATAATAGACATTTGGTTAATTATTATCAGAAGGTGCAAATGTCATTTTCTATCCCTTCGACATATACTAGAACTATATACATTTACTTAATTCGATGAGTGACTTCATATTATGACAACGTTATCGTTGGTAGAAATTGTAAATAAGTGAAGCTAGCAACCCCTTTAAGGAGCCTCTAGCAAAGCTTCAGATTTTGGAGCCCTATTCCGGTGTTCGGCAATCAATCTCTACAGTACGTACTGTAGTCAAAGATACTGAATGACTTCTGATCTTCGGATGATGCATTATTGACTATCTAAAAGGCAGCGACAGTCTATTTTCGTTTGTGTCATTACTAAGGGAGGAGAGGAAACCTACAACGAACCATGTGGACACTACACTTACGGTGGTCTGATCCAAAACGGCACTTCGTACCAGCCAGGTTTGAACCGAGTTGGTGACATTTCCCCAACACCAAGTCAACTCTACTGTGACTATTTGGTGAGTAGATATGCAGCAGTAATCTCTAGGAAGATTCAGTGGATAGATACATGTTCTCAGATTTTCTTACTAATCTTAGTCTCCAAGCAGGTTTCTTCTGAGCCAGCACACTATGAAATTGGCCACCAGTATCCATTGGTACACCATTAGCCAATTTGATAGTGTCTTGCCCTAAAAAAAGTCTGCTTGGAGATTAGTATATCCTGTTGGCTCACCACGATTGCAATCAACGCAAAAATCGTTCCAACCTTGAGATAATACAATGTAGTATATGTATATGCTTCAATCAGTAATATTTGCTTTAATTTCAATCCTTTTCTCTTGTACAGAGGTTGCCAGAGTTGATCTACAGCGTTCTTGCCATGTACTAATCATGACAACCTCTGACAACATACAGAAATTAGAAAACAAAGTACGTAAATGATGCTTGTCTAATAATCATAACATTTCAACAGATGAACATTGATATTTCCGTGATTGCGTCATTTGGATTTTACCGGATACCTTGCCCTTTTACGAACCCCCTTGTCATATACTGACAAATTTTCTTGTTGTTTGAAAAGCTTTTTGCACTAACTCCAAGGTAAACTTAGACTAGTTTTGAGAAATAGATAACAAAAGCAAAGTGTGTCTGTCAGAAGCAGAGTTGTTTGTGGAAGATTGATGGATTTTTAAGACGCCATACCCACTGGTGTTGTCATTGCACCATGTTTGCCGTGTCGACTAGTATAAATAAAACTAACTACTCCGGGGCAATGTCCAGTTACAGTCGACAAGATTCACACCTGATCATGTCTTTAAGTTACTTTTTAAATCAAGTTAAGTATAAGTTAAGTCATTGTTTTTTTTTTATTGTATTCCTATTCTTGTATTTGTAATAATTTTACCTGTATTTTCGGTTGTATTATATCTGTTTTGTAATGTGTTGAGCACAGCATCCGTCAGATGAATTTTGCTGCCTACTAGCCTGTGACTGTGTTCCATTGCGTGTTGTTGTTGCAACATGAAGAAAGACCCCTTATGTCTTTTCGACAATCATGAATTAAACTAGATAATGTTCATTATGACCCTATTTCCATAATAGATTAGACAAATCCCCTCCAATACATTAACATAAACTCTGCATATTTCATGGAGGTATGAGATCTCCGAATTCTTGTTTTTTTTTTTAAATTTTATTGACCTAGATTGGACAGAGCGTACATAATGTGCTTATAAGGATCCATTGCTCAGAAAACATAAAGAACACAATCACAAAATTGGGGTAACAAATACAAAACGTACAGTGGACTTAATATGAAAACGGTCGTAAGATTCCACATATTTCAATAAGATTACGATCGACATATCAAAAGTACAAAGGATTAAGTGGACCACAGGTTATGTCATTTTAATCGATTTCCGAATTGTAGGTTTTACAAGCGGTCTTTTGTTTTCAGCAAGTGATCTTTTGTTGCACACAAGGTTACGTAACTTACGTAAATTGGCCAGATAACCTATGCCCCGGGCCGCCATGTTTAGTCATCATACATTGAACCCTCAGTGGTTCATGTAAATAAAGAGAAATATTTCTTTAATCTAATCTTAATTACGCTCAGTTTGTCTTGCCACACAAGACGCTGTACATCACCATAGTAGCTGTTTTCTAGAGTCAGAAGATAAAAACTCTCCAGCCACTTAAAAACCAAGTTTGACGTCATTTAGATAAGTATTGCACAAGTTATGCTGCTTTGCTCTCCATTCATTATTTGCAGGATCCGTTGTTGATTCAAGGTATGATGACTCAAGTTGCCGCCCAGAGCATAGGTTATCTAGTAGCCAATATATGTTACCTTGTGGGTAAATATTTTGTCTATACATTTGTAGTCATAATGTTAAAATCTACGTTACAAAACGAAAAGCCCCCAAACTATAATAGTTAAGAATGCCACATTTAAACCAGTCGGGTGACCACTATTGTTATTGTTTATTTATTTATTTTGATATTATGTATCAGCCATATGTAAGTTTAGAGTTAGCGCACATACATTAGAAATACAAAAGGGTAGATACAAACAACTGTCTGTTAACGACAGAATATGTAAATATTGTACAGAAAATGCAGTGGAGGATGAAATGCACTTTATTTGCCATTGCTCTCGTTATAGCACCGAAAGAGACAAGTTATTTGAAATGTCACCAAAATGTTCCCTAGCTTAATTCGCCTCCCCTGCTTACAAAAAGCTGCATTTCTATTAACACCTCCCAATTCATACATCTCGCAAAATGTCAACCATTTCTGCACACACAAAAAAATCAAACCCGACAATAACTATATCCAAAGTACGTAGCATAAGCATTACTTGTTATCATTTTTACTGTTTATTATTTTATCATGTTCTTGCAATTAGCCCTCAGGCATTTTTATAGTTTAGGCAATATTGAATTCCGGTATATGCATCATGTGGTGACGTTCATTGTTTAATTATCCTCAAACTGAACGCCATTTTGTTCCAGACTTAGAGCCATGAGTGCACAGACGACATTCTGGCAGAAAGGGGCAGGAGTTGTCCTGTTTTTCGGGTTCCTGGCCACCTGTGTGTACTACTACAAGGTAAGTGGCTGGAAGGGTCAGTTCCATTGTTTCACACATCCTTATATCGATTTTTCACACCCGAAACTTCGACTTATTTTTGTCACTTGTCTCTCCAGTGTTTTCCTATACTTTACAAAGGCTGCATCTTCTGTTACTACTGAAATTCTAAGATCTTTCCTTCGTGAATTTCTTAAATTACTGATTCCTGATTTTTTCACGAAACTTTTATGTTCACTGTTTTCACTGTCACGTCTGTACCGTGAACTTATCATTACAGTTAACAAACAATTCCTGGACTTTTTTTTCCTACACCTGTCGCCACCGTGAATACATACATGTAGTTCCCGGGAACATGTTCACTTTTCTCAGACCGTGAACTTTTGCTACCGTGAACATAAAGTGAATTACAGTACCTTTCGTTTCGCGGTGTGGTGGGTTCTTTAACGTGCTCTAGCTAGGTCTGGTCCTCCTCAAGCATAGGACAAGGCGTATACGTCCCAAATAAGAGAATGTTCCAAAACTCATCTTCCTCCTAGTCGGGAAAGGTTGAGTGCCTTTCCTTTCCCTATAGCACATTAATGGACCCTGCTATAAGACACCCTGAACCTTTAGCTTCAGATTTTAAGTCAACAACCCTAACCACAACACCACCTTATTGACATATCCCAATCAATATCTACACAACAAACAGTCGTATTCATTTGATCTTTTGATTCCACAGACCGACCGACTGCAGTCCTCTACAGAACCCTTTCACGACCCTCGGATATTCTACGACAAAAACGGGGGACTGCGACAGTTCGACGGATTTCCTCAAAAACTTCTGCTCGACGGTTACGATTTGAACAAAAAGCCAGCGTTTCATGTCAGTCACGGAAGGAACGAATCAGCCTCAAAAAGTTTGATTGAAAATGACAGAAATATATTTGAGAATGTCACACAGAAAACTAACAGTAATGAAAAATTCACACATGATTTTAGCACGCCAATATCACATAAGAAACATGTGTCCAGTTCACAGGATTTTTCTGATTCGAAAAAAAGTTTCAGAAATGAAAAATCGACACAGCTACCAGTCCAAACCGAGAAACCTCCGGAAACTCCCGAACAGTCGATCGTTGAAATCGCGGGTCTTCCGACGGTCTACGACCCGACGGAATTTCCCGAGCACATCGTCGTTCGTCTGAATGCTACATTTGAAGGAGCAATCTCTACAGCTAGCCCTCATGTGGTACAGAACGTACCTAAAGCCACAGAGAGACCCAGAACTACATCCGTAAACAAAATAGAAGTAAACCACACAGACGAAACAAATTCAAACCACCTGTTTGATGTTCTAACAAGCGCGTCAAGAAGTACACTTGAACTTTTGAGTCCAGGTCCAATCTACCACCTCGGCGACAGTCTACACGTCAGAATACAGGCCAGGGATTGGCTGAACCGCCCAAAAAGTCGCGGAGGGGATTATTTCAAAGCTAAGATTTTTAACCCCTCGTTGCTGGCGAGTTCTGCGGGGCGGGTGACGGGCCACGATGACGGGACGTACACCGTGAGTTTCTGGCTGAGTTGGAGCGGGGAGGCGCGGGTAGAGGTCACACTTATCCACCCCGCGGAGGCTATAGATGTTCTGAAGAGGATACGGCCGATACCCAGGAAGAGAGTGTATGCGTGTGGCTTTAGAGACGGTGGGTGGTAATCTCCAAGCAGATCATAGGTGGCAAGACAGTATCCATTGGCCACAGGAGTGTCCGTTAGCCATTAGGCATTTATTTTTCTTTACACATCATAGAGCGAGACAATGTTATACATTCCTGACACAGCATACAGTTATAAACACATTGTTTACAAATTATTAGTCTTTGCTATTATTTTTAATATCTTAGAATGGCTAGGTATTAGCTTAATAATAACTTCTATTCATGGACGTTTGCCATACATAATAAAAATAAATGTACCTGCCACAAGGTCAATGATTAGGGATTGGGCCTAGGAAAACCTATTTGGTTTTACCCTTGTGTCAATGGGCGCCACCATGTTGATTTGTGACGTCATAAGAATTTATCGTAAAATGTAATGGGGAGGCTTCCTGAATTCAGAGTAATACATAGCCGGCTCTCAAAATTCAGCGTAGAGCATTGTCGAGACCCCCCCATGCAGCCCCTTGTTGATTTGTGATAAGTCGTCCATCTTATCCAATTCTTCTTATCACTACAGGAAACCACACCGCCCAGACTAAGTGTTTCCCATCGCCTGATCCGGACCCTGCCAACAAGGAGTGTGACTTCTCCAGCGCGCATGCGGATGCAGGCTGGTACTGCGGCCGGCCGGGCGACATCCCGTGTGACAAGGTCGTGGGGTGTGGCGGGTTAGCACTGAGGGATCATGGGTACCTGGGGATCTCCGAGGAGGACGTCAGACTGTTCAACGAGTCAGTACTGCAAAATCTGTACTACCGATAACCCCTATATCATCCTCCTTCCTGTCTTCAGTTCATTAGCCTTGCCATGTGCTTTCCTCCAAGTCTTTCCTCCAGGTTTTGTGTAGGAAAATCTTCTGTTTTAACCTTGGGTCATTGAGTGCCATCATACTGATTTGTGATGTCATGAGTCGTCCATCTTGGAGCTGACCCATCCAGACCAATCTTAAATAGTCTTTCTTCATTTTTTTACCGGCACTTTCTGTTTTGATTCATATTTTTCTTGATATGATTGTCCATTATTACCCAATATGTTATTTTATTATCTTACTGCAGAAGTTATATCGACCAGGTGGTGGGCGGATCCTTGAGTGTGAATGTAACAGCTAATAACGTCCCATGTAAGTAAGCATCATGTTACAAAGAAGCCAAAATCCAACCGTTGTCACCAGTGTATTGCATGAATAGCCAAGAGACTGCTAATATTACAGTTAGTATTTATATGATAATAATTGCCAAGGTGATATAATAAAGAGAAATTGATGATAATGATGAATGTAGATAATAACAATGATCTGGTGCATCTAAAGTGCAGTGCTATCATATGCAGAACCGCGCCTATCTATAAATCTAAAGTTCTATGCCTAAATGGGTTAGGTTTGGATCAGGCACAGTTCTAGATACAGCAAGTGACGAACCTTAACACAGAAAGAACGACATCACATTAACACGATTTTTCCCGCCGTCACTGCAGGTGTCATACGTCATTCAGGAGGAAAATGTCTCCACGTCAAAACCTATCCAGGCGAGCAACAGCCAATCAACAAGCTCGTTCTAAAGGACTGTGGCAATCGGCAGAGACAGCTGTTCGTCCATTGGCCAGACGGCAGGCTCATGCATGCTGTTTCCAAGAAATGCCTTGTTCTGGACACAAAGGGAGAAATTCGCGAAGGCACAGAGATAACACTTGGGTAGGTTAACCTTCAGCCTTTCCCAAGGGTACAAGATCAGTGGCATGGCAGGACTCAAACTCGGTTCATTTCATGTCTAAATGTATTACTCACAAGAGAAACACAATTGTGTACTATATACTGTGCATTCTATGATGAAATGAATATTGTCAGTGTTTTTCTATCACTCGGGTATTAGTCAGCAAAACTAGTTTTTTGTTGAAATTTTGATTAATGTAATGTTAAATAAAAATACGCTTTTTGCCAGAGACTGCGATGAAAAAAGTCTGCATGTCCCCCATACCCGGTTTCGGACGCTACAAGACACGTCTACCGGCATGTGTCTTCACCCGTACGGCGGGTCAGATAACCCGGATGAAGACACACACATTGTCATCTTCAGCGGATGTGAGGAAGGCAGACTCATGTTCGAATATATGGAAGGTAAAATAATGGACGATGATAGCAATATCGTAGACATTATTTCGATATTTAGTACTTCTCAAGAACTTGCCATACATTGTACCTGCTACAATAGTTGTGCAATATAACTTTGATTGCCCGTTTAACTGCCCTTGGGCATAACATCCAGCTTCTCAGGCACGCGGCGCGGCGGCAGCTGGCTGCATTACACCGAACGACTTGTTACTCCTAACCCTTGAACATCTAACTGTAAACATTGTTTGAAGCTTGAATCTTATGATAATGCCCCTACTGTACTTGGTGGCAGCGAGTTCCATAAAGAGTTTTCTAACACCTCAACTGGTTGATAACTCTGGTACTTGAAGGCATGACTATGTCTTTGTTCTTTTCTGAGCTGGTATTAGGTACTTATATAGTGGCATTTCTGTTGCATGCCCCAGATCCCTCCACTTTACCGAAGTGTGCCCCGTCAGCAGGAATCGTCCGTCCAGATTCAGATGGGTTCTTCCTCCACGATAAGTGGTACAGTCGGTACTGCAACGCCAGAAGGTTCCCGGATGTCGACAGCATTTCCAAGTGCTTAGCAGGGGAGAGCCTATTCATCCATGGGGTATGTTATACATTTAGTTTGAACTTTTAGCCACAGTACACGAGGTAACTGGGGTCGTATGCTCCAGAGTGGGGGAAAGTGTAACATGCATAATCCTTTGACACAAATTAGTACATGTAGTATGTGAATTAGCAGACCATGTTGGGAAATGCTTGAGCCCGTAGAGTTATTAGTTACATTTTCCAAGAATTTGAAAAGATCTGGAATTCCTCCCCTTGTGTGTTGTCAGGACTCGACCGCCCGTCAGTGGTTTGAACACCTGCACGGTAAGCTGGGTCTCTCCACCATCCGCCTGGCACCCGACCTGGACAGCTGCAGGCTGGGCCCGTGCGCTGCACATAACAACATCACCGACTTTCACATGCACTTCCAGGCAAGCTCTCTTTGTTAGTCACAATGTATTTTAAGGGCATAACAAGAAAAGGCACTAGGTCCTATCTTATACTAGTTTGAACTAATTTTGACTTAAATATAACATGTAAATGTAAGGAGTAAGAAATCAAAATAAAATGTTTAACACGTGTAAAGTTTTAACCCATAAAGTGCCACTGGCTGTGCATGGATCACATCCACACAGAAGATGGTACATTGTATAAGCCCTAGGACTTAAGCCAAGAAATTAAGGTGTGGAAAGTACCAACTTTTTCCGGAGTCCTCCATCTCAAATTGCCGCCCATGCTACGTGTCCCAGGGGCTCGTTAAACAAATTAATAAGGATTGTATGTTTCTTAGTAGCAGTAGTATACAGAACAGTGTATCTCATACCATAGGCTGCACAGTACTTTCAGTACCATGGACATGTACGCATGTCAGTGCTACATGTACATACAGGTGCTACTTCAGCCTAAAGCAAATGAATGTATGTAGCAATTTTATGCAATATGACTTTGCTTAGGGCATTTATTGCCCTCAGTATAAGAACTCCCCAGAATACAGGCCGGGATGTTTCTCATTGAATGTGTTTGTCCCTCTGTAGTTTCACAACTTTCCAGTGCACGGGAACCCTTTCAAAGTACACAACATGGAGTACATAGTCGACGCACTGGATCGTCTGCAAGGCGGGTCCACGGTCACGTTCGTTATCAACATCTGGGCGCACTTCACCCCCGAACCGGTGGACGTCTACCGCAGGAGGATACTGGCCGTCAGGGACGCCATCTTGCGGCTTCACCAGAGATCGCAGGAAACATTGGTCGTGGTGAAGTCGGCCAACATGGCGTTGAGCTCTTTTCCTCCGAGCAGGCGCCCGATCAGTCCGAACTTGTACCTACAAGCCGACGACTATTATTCTGAGGATTTTAATAACATAATGAGAGACATTTTCGCGGAAACAAATGCTGTGTTCCTGGATGTTTGGGAGATGACCTCATGTTTCCATGCACCCCATGATATTCACCCAACTTGGGATCTGGTGCATGAAGAAGTCAGCTTGCTTCTGGCCTATATTTGCCCTGATAGAACTCTGTAAACACTGTACCTGTATGCCTGGTATACTAGTAACTGTCTTTTGCTGTATCACACCAGCCCACTGTAACCACCATTATTATGCACATTATGTTGCAATATTAGATTTTTATAATTGGCAATATAGTACCATGCTCATTCCAACATGACTCTAGCATATACTCAATACTTTGACATATGGAACATGCTAGTAATATACAACATGTATTTAGTCCATCTGATTAGAAAAGATAGTATATAGTAACTGTTGTAAACTTTTGGATACAACGTCACAGAGATGAACATAGATTATGAATCTGTAGGATGTAGATAATAAGATTATTACAAACTCTTATACGAAGGCTAACTGCACTTAGTCTACATTATGTTACATTCATATTCAGTGTGTAAACATTCTAAATCATCTCTTGGCATTGTCATATTATTGATATTATGAATGAGAACCAGACAGATTTTCATTCATAATGGGAGGGAACATTATAACTTCAGTTTGATGCCATCGCAACAGTGTAAGCAGCAATAAACTAGCTGATATTTCAAGTATTTTACATAGTTGTTTGACGGTCTCAAAAAAGACCCCCTAGTGATGGATAGTAGTGTTACAGCTATAAAACGTGTAATCAGGCGCTGCTTAACGGTCTAGAAAAAGTGCCCTCCAGTAACTGAGTTATCGGTACCTAAGCCCTGAAACTTGTAATCAGTTTTGTTGATAACGGATGCTGAAGAGCTGTTTCCACAAATTCAGTACGTAAATATATTGTATTTTGGAAATAATATTCTATGTATTCAGGTAAAGACACTGTACACCAACAGACATATAAAATTTGGATGTAGACCTTTAAAGTTTAAACATGGATATATAACGTTACACCCAGTTCCTAGGGAAATGAATAACGATCACTCTGGAATTTATTTTCGCCCCTCTCGTGCAGCTCCCACCAAAGTGGCCAGAGTGATTAACTATATTCGCGAGCCGTAGCGAAGCCGCATTGCACCAAAGCAACTTCTCTGTAAATGTTACTGAAAACGCCGGTGTGGGACCTAAAACAACCTCCGGTATGATACCAGTTTCGAAAACTCTTTTTCAAATATAATTCAAGAAAGACACCAATATTGCTAACCCTTGATAAATATATTCTCAAACGAGAAATTAATTGTAATAAAATCCGAAAAACAACAAAATTTGTTTGAAATTATCTTTAGTAATTTTCCACTGGCCGCATGACGTCATTTTCACAACCACGGGATTTTTCAACATGTGCAGGCAGACGAGGATTTGGACGCTGTGTTTTAAAATGTCTCAAAAACATTATTTTTTAGATTTTCGTGTGCATTTTTCGTCAGAATATGCAGTTAAGGTGTTGTTCAACTGGCAGGAGGAAAAATTACGGGGCATTTTACGGTAATTTTACCAAAAAGACGACAAAAGTGCAGGCAAGAACCGACAACTGTGCAGCCGGGCCGAGTCGGGTTTGACGTGTGTGACGGTGAGATTGTTGAGCAATTTTCTGCTATTTCTGGGCGAAGTTTTTAGCGTAAATGTACCTCTAATTTGTTTACAACAGATTTGGACAACTGTTTCGTACGTTTATCCTTAAATTCTGTGGTAATTTTCTGTCCTTTGGGGTATTTTTCATAATTTCTAGGAAAACCACGGCGGACATTTTTAAATGCGTAGTTTGAGTTCCCCTAGTTTGTCGATATGAATTTACCTCGAGTTTAGTTATTTTGCTCAGAGAAGTCGAGAATACGTTCTTCGTGCCTTAAGTAGTGAATACTGAGGAAAAGGTATGTGATTTTGTCACTTTTTTACGCGATAATATGTGAAAAGATGGCCAAGTACTAAAGTAGGACGTCATAATATTTAGCATATGAATCTCGGCGACCAGGTGTTGGTGGGTAAATTGGTTAACATGGCGGATGTGCAAACCCTTCATATGCACCTCTCTAGTATCAAGCTAGGAGGCAAACCTGAAATACTGTAAACAGATTTATCTTTAGATGCTGTTCAGATTTCCTTTGTTTCGACAGGTTTTGAACAGCAAAATGACAGACATTTTTGAAGATTCCCAGATGAGAGAGAATATTCAGCACCACTTTCTCCCAGCCTTACACTTGGTAGGCATGGCTGTTTGTTATGGTATTACTAGTAATGTTAACCATTTTGTCAGCCATTTTTTATCCTTTGCCTTTACAAGTCAGTTGAATGTTTTTGTGCCACCATTTACACTAGCCTAGATGATCATTACATGGAAAGATATTGGTAATCCTGTCATCTAATGTCTTTCGTCTCAGACTGATGTGTTGAAATACTCTTCAATACATGTATAATGTTGATATGTTGTAGGGACTTTTGTTACGAAATTGATGCAATGAATTCTTTCTCAGACCATGCTTTATACATGTTTTGCCAAAAGTTTCTAAATACTAAAACCATCAGCATAAAAACACACCTGTCCTTGGTACTGAACACCATCCACAGGTAAACCTACCCGTCCTTAGTGCTGAAAAATATGCACAAACAAAAATACCTGTCCCTGGTGCTGAATACCATTAACACATAGGTAAAACCACCTGTCCTTGGTGCTGAACGCCATCCATACACAAACACACCTGTCCCTGGTGCTGAAAACCATCTACACACAGGTAAACACACCTGTCCTTGGTTCTGGACACCATCCACACACAGGTAAACACACATCCTTGGTGCTGAACACCATTTACATACAAACAAACAAATATCTTGAGGCATCATTTTGTAGACATCCAAGAAAAACTGTTTCATTTTTCTTCCTCACAGCACAGTGAAGCCAGGTGCAGAGAAGAAATACTGTCGACATGTTAGGAGTTCTTTCTGGACCATTTCTTACTCATTTAAGAAAATTCTGTAAGATTTCTTTTACCTATAGTACATTAAGAAGAGATGCCTAGATTGTGTAAAAATGCATTGCTCTAAATTCATTTATGTTTGATAAGTTTGAGTTTGAACCAATTCTGTAGTACAGTATTATACAATGGAAACAAATCTTCTAGTGACACGATTTTGCATGTGATGGTAGCCATAGTTGGTAGCCTTTTGTGAAAAAAAATCACCAGAAACATTTCAAGACTTACAGTATATATACAAGAAAAAAGTGTTGGTGCAGTTATAGTGGCAGAATTTTTAATACAATTGTAAATGGCTCAACAACTGGTAATAATACATAAATATAGAATACAACACGGGGTAT